ATCAAAAATATGAAGAGCAGGATGATGATAATAACAAGCAAAAAGATAATGTAAAGTAATAATAATTTTATTATTATTACTATTCTCGCTATTCAAGGACTAATCCACCTGCATCTGATATAATGGGCTTCCGCTTCGGGGTAGGTGGATCAGTTGTCTCTTTCTTACTTGAAATAAAGCTTAAACCAAAAAGATAATGATAGTGATAACGATGAAATGGCAACAACTGTAGCACTTGATGATGACTTCTTTTGATAGATAAAAATGAATAGTATTCAACTATGAACTTCCAATAGTAGACATTTTTCCTTTTCTATTGTTTAAGCTAGAAGAAACTTATAGCTTTAGCTGTGTTTACAAAAATTTGAACTTTGAACAAACTGTGTCAGCGTGACACTAATTCAAGCTAATCTGAAAATAGCACTATGGGATGAGATTATTAACTGAGGACTTTTCGAATTATGTGTGAATTCTTTCTCGCAGAACTACTGCCTACATACAAACCGGCACAGAAACTAAGAAATTTTTATACTTCATACAAGACTATTTTCAAAAAAACCTGGTCCCGGTCCCGTAAAAAAGATTTTTCTGGGTTTCGGTCCCGTAAAAAGTCTCGCGGGACCGGGACTAGGAGTGTCCCGCAACCTCTACTTGTATTGTGAACGAATAAAGCTTAAATCAAAAGGCGCTTGATAATACTATGACATGCTTTCACGAACTCGAAGAAATAGTCAGTTAACTACAGCTTCATATTTTACTTTTGTTCTAATGAACAAAAAAAAAAGTATATCAGAGGGCCTGGCCGGGGATTGAACCCGGGACCTCTCGCACCCTAAGCGAGAATCATACCACTAGACCACCAGGCCACAGTATATTCTAATACGTAGTAACAAGTCTATGTATATGAGAGAGTTATGAATAGTTTTTCAGATTTCTTAGATGATTAATACTACTATGACTTATTTGTCACAATCAAAAAACTTAGCGTCATAATGTGAATGATAATCGTCTCAGAATACAATCGAACTGTTTCTGCCTAGTATTTCTGTTCTGTTATGTCTAGTATTTCATTCACAACTGCATAATGATTAGCTTTGAAACTATTACTAATTGAAGAAAAATACCTAGTAGCCTACAAATGATTACTAAACTTAGTCCCAACCATCCAGTCTGATCGAAATTATATAAAAAAATGCCTTTTGGTATTTCGAAAGCCCAGAAGAAATTGTATTATCCAGCAATGGACTGTGGTTTTCCAGTTTTTGATTAGGTTTCTATTCGTATGACACGGGAGTGACTCTAAACTTCTATGTAAGATCTTTGGCGAATCGTCGTATTTCATTTATTTTTTCAATAAGCCGTGCATCAAATATTTTGTAATAGGACAAATCATTTAGGATTATAATACGTGATTTTTATAGTCATTAAGATGTTTAAAAGTGAATTGTGGTGTAAAACTAAAATCTCGAGTCCAAAACAGAAATATTTAGAAACGTTAGTGTACTTACGGCATACTTTTACTGTCGTAATCATTGGACGTACTCGTTTTCCTAATCTGCCCATTATATTGTTGAAGATTTTTTAAATATTTCGACATTGGATCGTTCTTGACGCGTGTAAAATATTTGATAAGTGTTGGCGGTGGTTTATATTTCATTCCCTCTCGATGCATGAGTTTTCTTGATGCATTGGTCATTTGAACTATATTTGATTGTCTCTTAGAATTAGCATCAGAATCTGTTAGATAACCGTCAAATCTTGGTGTAACATCTTGAATGATCGTTGAATCCGTTGAATCTTCTCGATATAATACTCTTCTAAATGGACGGTTTCGTTTCGGATCTACCGTTGACATACTACTATTTTATCTCCATTTTTAACTGGAAAACAACAGTATATTTTTATTAAGTGTACGATGTTTCATATTTTCCACCGGTCTGCTTTTTTTGTGTTTCAGCTGATAACAATAATAACACACACTAACACAAAAAATTTATAATTGACAAAAAAAATTCAATTTGCATTGAAACCTTAAAAGACATTCATTTTTTTGAAGACATTCATCACCAGAAGACAGACTTGAAAATTGTTGTACTTATACACAGTCTGTTACGTGTCAAAGGTCAACTATTCGTTAAAAATATGTAAAACCTTTGAATATTGATTTTTTTGACTTGAATATTGATGGTGTTACAAGCAAACAGTTTATCTTCTGAAAAGTCAATTCTTACATTTAAGTAGTATTATAAAGCCGTCTTAGCGTTGATGATCAAATATTGAATTAGATAGTTAGTTGATCTAGAATACTAAAAACAAGATAAATGACTTGGTTTTTTTTATTTAAAACGTGTAATATTGAAACTTTCGATAAGTTTAACCAAAAGCTTAAAATTAGATTCAAAACGAAGACAATACAAATTTACTAAAGAGAATAAACGAGAGAGACAGCATTTTATGCAAATAGCCTGCACTGTTGAACACATTTTATCATTGACGTAATACAATGGTCTGCTTTCTTCTTGGAAACAAGTTTTGTCCGTTTAACGTGGTTGTAGAACATTTCTGAGTAGTAGTAGCAGGCTTTGAATTTTGTTTACTAGTGTCTGTACCTGCCTGACAACTCTGTTGCTGGTGTTGTTGAACAGGACGTGCTGATTGTTGAAGTTCTTTTGGCGAAATTTTTCCTTGTGTATTTTTTCGATCTCTCAGCCACGCTCGAACATTGAAACGTTTCGGTAACAATGATGTAGGACGTACTAAAGGTACTGTAGACGATGATACCGGAGTTTTATTAGTGGTGGTAGTAGGATGTTTTTGTTGTGTTGGACGATGAATTTTATCATTTGTGGTAGTGGATGATGAAGATGTGGAGGATGTTGGTGAATGATGCGTTAATATGTGAGGAGTCAAAATAGAATATTTTAATCGAAATGGTAATGGAGATAGCTTTTCTAATTGATTTGTTAAGCATTCAAATATGTCATTGTTATCACTATGAACAAGAATAAACGCCGACGATTCATAGTAAGTGATAAGTAATTCATGTTGCTGTTTAAAATGATTTAGCCAATTCGGTAGTTCATGAAAACTAGTAAAAATAGAACAACAATTACAACAGTATATTCAAAGAAATTGTAACTTACTTTAATAAACTGAATATGAATGCATTCAATTTGTCTGTCCAATCCACTGAACTACCTTGAAGATATTGTGCCTTCATTTTTGCTTCATAATAAGGCCGTGTTTGTGGATTTTGAGGCGTGGCTAAATCAATAATTCGCCATAATGTTATTTTTTTTGAAAATAATGAGCCAGCATGTTGTTTTAAACCATCCTCTAACACTTCACGAAGTTGTGGACAAAATTCATTTCGCAATGTTCGATCGAGTTCGTGATTACTGTTGTTATTTAAATAATAGGACTAGAGAAGAAACAATAACAGATTTGAGACATAAAATCGAAGTAACAATAAACTAGTATGAAAAAAACTTACATGATCACCACATTTTATCTCAAGTATACGAAGAACGGTATTGGCAAACGTTTTGACGAGAGCTAAAATGATTGAATTTAAAAAATGCATAATAAACATTTGGAATAATCAAACCTTTGTCAATAGAAAATTTTAAATTTTTCTTCACTACTGTTGAATTTGTATCGTCATTCTGATGTTTATTTGTTGATGGTTCTATGTAATTCATTGGCTGTTGTGCTATTGTTTCATCTTCGTCTTCGTCCGATAAATTAAATTCACTTGGTGGACTATCGGTAAAACTTTCAGCCGGAAGTAAATCAATTTCATAGAAATCTAAAAGCATTTTAAAATTGGCAATTGAATGAGGAAAATACTCAAGTCTTCTTACCGTTGATATATTTTTTAGTTATGGAATGATTTGTTGCTATCGTTGTTGGTCGATGTTTTGGACTAGCGGATGGTGTAATTAGTCTTTTAGATATATTTTCACAAAAGCTCACACTTTTTTTCGTTCGAAGATCGTGTTCGGATAACGTTCCATTTCTTTTCGTACGCAATTGTACTTGTATTTGATTCGACAAATTTGTCAATGATGAGTAAGTGGGTGCTGAATAGCGACGATGACGATTTGTATTTGTGTTTGTTGTTTTCCAACCAATATGTGATATAGCAGCCAATGTAAATATATCTCCTGCAACACCACCGGCTAAAACATCTGATCCCCCATAGGCAATCATTGGTGTTAATGCTACTGTTAAATCTTCTGTTTTGGCTCGTTTCAAACATGATTTTAAATGTGGTGTATGAAATTCGCTTGTTATTGTCCTCGATGGAGCAGATGGTATTACTTTTTGTTGTTGTTGTTGTTGTTGTTGCTGTTGTTGACGTTGGCGTTCAACATTACTAAAATATCCGCTACTCGATGTACTGTTATTGCTGCTTGTTGATTGCTGTGAATAACCGCTTAGGGAAGTTTCTTCTTGTTCTTCACATTTATGGGCAATAGGACTTATCGGTGATATAAAACTTGGTGAAGGGAATGTTGTTATTGTTGGACTAACGATTTTTTGGTTTATGGTTTTTACATTTTTAATTCGTTTTATTTCTTTTAATGTTCGAGGTTTGTGATAAAATTGTGAATGAAATGATGTTGGCCGATTACTGTTCGAATTAATACAATAGAATACTGTTTGTGTCGTTTTTGAATTTAAATCTACAGAATTATTTATTGTCGTTTTTAAACATTCATTGGATGACGATGATTTTATTTGATGACATGTTGTCGAATCGTATGTATTCAAAAAACCAAGATCCGGTAATGATTTAACGTTTCTAGGTAAATATTGACGATTTTGACTACAAAATTTTGAGTTATTAACAGCAAATTTTTGTAGACTTCTCGAACGAGATAAAACTAATATTTTTGGTTGAAGTTGTTCATCTCTACCATCACAAAGATTAGCCGGTAGAGAATATCTGTTTGAATACAACAATTGATTCATTTCAGTTTGTGAACATTTATTTGTACGACAGTAGTGCATAATGTATGTTTTAGAATCGTTATTTAACGATGTTTGAATTGATTGATCGTTACTGTATACTGGAAATTGAGTCGATTGATCACATGCTGGCTTTTCTAAAAACAAATGAATAAAAAAAAATAGATTAGTATGAAATCTCACAAAGCAGAGATGAATTCTTTACTGTTGTTATATGTTAGAAAGCGAATCTATATGTACTGTACAAATTCAATAAATAGCAGGTGCGACATACCGGTTATTAATTTTTGCTTAGTCGATTCTTGTCTAAACTTTTTATTTATGTCTAATGGAATATCATTAGATATCATCGAAGATGATGATATGTTTTCATTGCTCACTATTCCATCTAATTTTAATTTTGAAAATGTTGTTGGACTACAAAGTTTTATACATGGAAATACTGTTGGACGTTGAATTGACGATGTTGTAGATGATGATGAATCACATACACTTTTATCACTAAAATTTTGATAAAGTTTATGAGGTTGTTGAGATCTTTTACGTTGAAATAATTTATAGAGTGTCAATGGACTATTATCATGTTTTTCATCATCATCTGTTGTTGTTGAACTAGTTATTGATGATTTACTTTTAGTTGTACTTCTTTCTTTCATTTGATGCCATGATGTTCGTGTTGTACTATTATCTGGTGTTGTTATTTGAGCAACTCCTGCGATGGATGATGACGATGTTTCATCTGCCTCATCTTCAGCATCTTCATCAGTATCATGAGCATGGTGTGTTGAACTTAATCGCATTGACCAGTCACTTAAACTTTGACCGGTTTTACTGTTATCACTGTCACCATTACTATTCACATCATCTGGTGTCGTTCGTTGTTGATCAAATGTTAAATGATACATGTGTGCTGCGTCATACAAATCCCAATGAAATCCTTCATAGACACTGTTTGATCCTCCCACATTTTTTTGTAGAGGTTGCTGTAATAAACTGTCGACTGAATGTTCAGCAGGTCGTCCACGAACAATAGGTTGTTTTCGCATTTCAATATGATCTCCATACGATGAAAATATACTACGATGACCACTTAACCAAAGTTCATCATCATCCAGAGCAATTTTTGAATTTGAATTATCGGTACTATCTGAATTATCAACAGACATGACGTATTCCATTTGGGTATTATTATTATTTCGATATAATAACAATGATAATAAATGATTATCAGACTCGTTTAAATGAGCATCGATACTATCTAATAATTGTGATGCCAATGTTGTATCATGATTTGATCTGACTTTGTTCTTGAACATGCTGATAATTTTTTACGAATGAGACCCTAGAATAAAAAAGAAAATATGCCAGTGCGAATATTTGCTGATATTAACATTTAAAAGTTCAAAAGAAGATTAAATAGTAATATACATTAGTTCGAGTATTGTTCTGTTCATTAATAAACGTCTTTTTTATACTTTTTTAAGAATTCAAGTCTAGCATTATTGCTAGTTCGACATTTTATTAAGTGTTGATGGCACTATACATGATCATTTGTTTCATCCATCACCCACGCATACTCTAACTTTTTATTTTCATTTAGTGACAGTTCTTATCATCAAATAATAAATTAGAGTGTAAACATTATCATGCAGTCTAATGATATGTTACACATTTTATCAATGTGAAGATGTTTCAACGAAAACATTTTTTTTTTCATTTTAATCTATTCTGAAGGAGTAGTGTTACATTGAATCTTAATTATATAGCCAAAATACAGAAAGGAAAAGAAAAAGAAAAAAATTGAATAGTAATCTGTTCAATGTGTATGTACTTCTCCCTTGAATGTTGATGATAAGGACTGCCACGGTTCGAAAAGCAAAAAGAAAGAGATGTTTATTCTTTTTATCCACGTAGAATACAAAAACTCCCCCCAAAAAAAATTCTCATTTGACGAGAAAAACACATACAAAAACGTTTTTTTCTCGGATTATACATGTCGGTTCATTTTATCGGATTATCCTTGAAAACAAAATATATGAATGTCATAGAAGAACTTTTTTCCATTAAGATGAGCATTTTTCCAAAAACAAAAAAAAAATGGCAAGCTTCCGTTTAGTAGAGATAACATTTTTTTTTAAACATATTTTCGCTGTTGCTAAAAATTCTACATATCCAAGGTATAAGAAATGTACTGTCCAATCATTGATCTGGTTCTTAAAATGAACATCACTAAGTATAGAGTGAATTCATCTGGAAGCGAGAATTTCTTAATTTTCTCTCGTATACCACTTTCAATTCTTTAATTTTATCGAAAAGTAATTGAGATCCTACTATAGCAATGAGTATTTGATTGAAACCGTATTAACTACAAAGAGCCTTTTCTTCTGATGAGTAAAAGGATTGTTATTGATAAATGTTGTGCAACTTGTTGATTATCTTCATTAGATAAATATACACAAAACTTTTTCTATTATTATCCTTTCATAATGTGTAATGGTACAGATTTTACAAGTTATCATAACATAGCTAAAACTATAGAATGCATACATAACACTATATGGAAGAAAATTTTATGTTCTATTTTGAGAATAACATGAGAGAAAAACATCTATTAATGTCAGTAAAGAGAAAGATAGAGAGAATGGAACTCATTAATTAAAAACTTAATGTCAAAGAGTAATATGGCTTGAAAAATTATCCCGCCTCTAGTTATCTATGAATTAAACAACCTTGATTGCATGAAAGAGAGATGCATGCTTTCTTAAGTGAAAAACATACCTTCATTCTAAACATGGTTCTATTCCTACACAGATGAAGTTGCCTGCCAATAGCAATTGTTTGCGTTGTATATGATGATGATGCGCGTCGGTGAGTGTATGATATTGATACAAAAAAGATTAAACTGACAATAAACTATGATATAGAAACGAGCATTCTGAATAGTCTACATGTGTTCAATCAATCGGTTCAATTGTCAGATCATTATTTTTTGTTGTTCTGACGTAGTTTTGTGTGTAATATTTCTTTTTAAGTAGTATCATCATAATACTTCAATAGATAAATCGTGTGCGTGTGCGTATACTTTTACATCTTTATGATTTCGATACCTTTCTTTTTTTTTACATAAGCGTATATATCAATGACCTTTAACTCCTTACCTTCCTCTCTCTCTCTCTCTATACGTATTTACAATTACAATATAATTTGTTTTCAAAAAAAAGGCATCGTGTGTAGATAATTAGTAGGTATGGCTGCGTGTGTGTGTAGCAATAAAACAAAATCAGCCAAGGACTGAAGAGAGAGACTTCATTGGAGAACTTTAATTGTTAGCAATTTTTCTTATGGAAAGACTAAAAACAATATTCGTCATAAATTTAGACAAATTAAATATAATAGAAACTAATTGGGTAGAGCGAGCGAACTAGTGTTCGCTAAAAATAAGAAAAATGACAAACACTCCTGAAGTACTGACGTTCAGTAAAAAGTTCTACAGGTTTAGTCTCAATTATTGCTGTTCTGTCAAGAAATTATAAAATGATTGTGTGAATAAATTTGATTGAGTGTCCCTCACTCTCTCCCTCGTATCAAAACCTATTTACACTCAATCTTTTTATGTGTCAAATTAGAAAGAGTATGGATAGTGTAGCATAAGCAATCGAAAACAGCTGCCAATATTGAGGATGATATCATTTTTTTTAATTGGCACAGACTATGAGTGCAAAACACGTTTGTCAAAATCAATCTTACAGGAGTAAAATATTTATTTTACTCTTAAGTTTTGTCGACATTTTGTCTTTCTCTCTCTCTCTATATATATACAATTCTTCATTGAATCTATGCATTCATTTTTATAATTTATATACAGCGCATATGAAAACATATGCATAATATTGTTTTGTTGAGATTAGTATGATGTAGCGAGAGCATAACTTTTTATTTGTGCTGCTTATGCAAGAAACTTGAGTCGCTCATTATCAGAAAAATCATCTTTAAACTATAGCTACGTATATATTTCTTTTTTACATGTTATAAAATGTATCGTAATATTTGTACGAGCGAGTCTAAAACATATATTGGTAAGTTACCAGATATATCTAAGCACGCATATACTTTGGTATTCTTCAATCCAATATGTGTTAGAATATCTATAATCCTTATAAAGAAGTTCGATCGTTGTATTTTACTAAGGAATGTGTTAATTTTTACACGTTTCCGTAGCTTGCAACTTAAAAAAATCTCAATAGCTAAAGAGACGATTTAAAAGATGGCTTTTTAAAATGGCGAAATTTCAGAAAGCTGCTGTAGAACATTAAAAAGTCTCTAATACCGAAAATGAAAAAGCAGAAACAAAAGAGTTTTTCTTAAAGTTCGTGCAGTTTGTTACTTCACCATCATAACTACATTAAATAAAAAAAATTAATTTACCTACTTTGCTTTTTTCATTTTAATTCATTTTTGCGTGATATATCAGTGGAAGACACGTGTGTATGTGGTAACAAGAGTAAAATGAGTGACTGATTAGTAATGAATGCGCTTTATTATTATTGTTTTATCTCCGTCGACGTTTTTTCCAGACTTTTTTCTCTTCTCCTTTCAACGAGTAATAGATCTTGTAGAGTAAAAAAAACTACATATGGAATTTTTCTCTTTTCAGTAAAAGAAAGAGCGATCCAAATCATCTAAACTATATGTAAGTTAGAGCGAACAGAAAGAAAAAGGAGATTTAGTATTGTTCTCTCTTTTTGGACGTAATTTTTATAGAAGAAAAAAACTACTATGATGCTGAAGTTTTCTTTCAGATATATAGACTATTGTGTCGTTTCGCCTTTTTTGTCTTATTCTGATAATCAACTACTAGACACACACACACACACACACAAATTGAGGATGTTTTTATACATATATAGAATTCTCATTACATACGTCGTTGGACGTGTGTATGCATATTTTATTCCGTTCACCCATTTCCCGATATGCAAACACGTCATTATTTGCCGAAAGTCTACTATTGATAAACAGTCACAAAAAATTATGATGGTTTTTTTGTTGATGTCTAATCAAATTTTTTCATCTCTTCTGTTCTAAATTCTAGTTATTTGATAAATGAGACTACATAAAAAAAAAAAATATGAAAATATTTCTCCATTTTTTTAGAAACAAAATCAAATATAAAATGCTCGCTATAATGGAAAGTAAAAGGATTTTTAGATTTCTTTTGTTTTATTATAAGAGATTTTGAACAATATATATAAGTTGAAAATATAAAACTATTATTAGATTTCTTATTCTTTCAATATAAATTTTTATCATATTAGATAAGTAAGAAAGATATATGAGATTATTCTTAGATAGTAAATATTTAGCTGTTCTGTCAGAAACAGATCTCTAAATTATTTTACCTTATGCACTAGTGAATGTTGATCTTCAAATAATTAAACTACTGTGTTTAAGAAGCATCTGCATATGTATAAAATTGATCGACTTTTTTTATATATTCTATATATGTGAACATTTTGTCGCAAATAAATATTAAACATTCTATATATATCCTATTGGGACCTTGCTACTCTATGTATAAGAGAAAATTTTTTTTTCGAACATCAGAACAATAGCCATCTTGACCTCCTATATAGATTGTATATCATGCGTTAATCATGCAGTTGTCCAAACTGTAGTGACATATATAGAGAGAGAGAGGGAAAAAATGCACACAAATGACGATATTCTCTGATTAGAAAGTTCAATAATATTTTAAAATTGAGAGAAGACAAGGAATGGTTGAGTGTGATAAAATCGTTTTAATAATATTGATCAAATTTACTAATGGCAATTTGCAGACATGTCACACAATAGAAAGTGCATTTAATGTCACTTTTACTTGCTAGAAGTACTCACTATTCAAATAGAAATAATGAATAGAATATCAGACTATATTGCCTAAAATATCGAATATTTATTTACTGTTAATACTCTAATTAACAGAAGTCTCTATATCGTTATTTTCATTATTGAAGAATATACAAATATATACACAAAAAGATAAGAGAAAGATGATACTATAGATATGTTTGTTATCTTGATAAATTCAAATAATATCAGGAAAAATATCTTTGTGATCGACTTAATGACATTTTTGGAAAATAGAATAGTTCATGATGTATAGTCTCATTTCTTTTGTTCACTATTTCTTCTTTAAGAAAGTAGTTGAGACATTTGTCTAAACAGCTTTAATTTTGAGCAATATCTGAAAATCCATATGTTATAAACATCTTTGATGCGGATTCATTTGAACTATTTCGTAGAAGATGAGCAAACATTTCGTAGTCAATAATTACACAAACACATACAAAAAAATAACAAAATATATATCTTTGTCAGTCATTTTTCGATATAATACGACATCTTACGACATAACAACAGCATTCGACGAATGACCATTTAAATTGTATTTCACTCTCAAATTATCAGCAGCAATTCTATGTTCTCTTGCTTGTTCTTCTAGTTCTCGTCTACTTTCATCTATTTGTCGTTTTGTATCTGCTTCATCTCGAGCGAGTTGAACACGTCTTGTCCATAATGCACAACGATCACATTGTCGACAAAGGCAACAAATTAAAATTGTGAGTAAAACAAGAACAATAACGACAGCAATAACTACAAGTGCAATAATAACGTCTGTTGATAGCACAACCATGTTGATTCCTATCACTCGTCGTCTGTTATCTAAAACCGAAAATTGAAAAAGTATCTTCTCTTCGAACAATAATAAAATGATCAACTGAAAAAAGGCATTTATCATTATTCTAAATTATATCCTATGATTTTGGTATACGAAATTACCCTCAAAAATCTTTTAGATATTCTCATTCAACTAGAAAGTGCATGCCATACACATCTTAAAAAGAAACATGTGTCATACATGTGCTAAAATCGGAAGTAATCTTTTTGGTCAGGTTTTGTGTTCACCAACGCAGCTTGTTAACAATACGTTTCGTACATACCTTTCGTGATTGTTCATAACTCTCAATTCATCTTATTCATAAAGAATTTCAAAAATATAGTTTAAAACATTTATCTTGTCTTGAAAATATGCTTTCTTTTTATTACAGGGGTTCAGAATCATCAAAGAATAAGATACTTGTGTTAAATTGTGTTGAAGTAGAACATGTATCAAATTATTGTTTTCATTCTCTCATTAGCTGTAACTACTGATTTTCATGCTCGAATGAGCTTGAAAACATTCCTGTCGATATTTGCTAGTATTTTTCAGCTTTTCGTTGTTTATTATATCTATTGATAATATTTATATAATTTCATTTCTTTATTTCTTTACAAAAATGTAAGAAAGATTAATTTTATACGAACATAAAAGTAATAATGACTCAAAATGATGACTCAAAAAAGTCTGTTGTTATTCATAGTTGGGACCAAAATGAATCAGTTTTTCATCTACTGCCGAATAAAAGAAACATTTTTTGAAAATGCTGATGCCATTCAATAATTTCACAAATATATATTAGCGTTGAAATCAAGATATAGTCAAAGAGAAGATCAATTTATTACTTATATTATCGATGGAGTTATCCTTCCACTGACAGACACTGAATCCAAATATTTATAGATTAATGTGTTAAAAGGATAAAATATAAGCGTGTACGATTTTATTCGATTGATGAAGATCAACGACAACTGAATTTAACTGGAAAAAAGATATGTTTTAGAATCTTTGAGAGTATAAAAATCTTCCTGTTGTTTTTTATTTGCTGGATATAAAGTGATCATTCGGCACAAACAGATTGCTGTAATTCTTGATAAACTTGATATTATTAAAAAAGCAAGTTCTAGTGTATTGAATAAGTTATTCTGTTCTGATATACATCAGCTGAATATATTTTATCCACTGTGTTTACTACAGCGTATGATGTACATATGATCAAGTTGCTGAAAATCTAAAATTAAATAAACAAATTCTAACCCATTAAAACATCATTAGTTCCCTAAAATGTAAGAAAATGGTCCGTTTAATGCATTTGTTTTATGTAACAACGGGTGAAAAATGTTAAGAAGTTTAAATATGTCAGTTAATAAGACATTCAAAGGTGTAAAAATTACATAAGAAAAACTAGATACTCCCAGAACACATTAATTTTTTTGAGATGAGAAGTAATTGAAATTTCTTTTTATTTATTTAAAGGCATCTCCCCTTCTCTTCTTTTTCCACCTTCTTGGAAATCGTAGAAAGCGATGTTCAATTGAGTTCAAATTCATAGCAGAAACAGAACATTGAAAAAGAAGATCTATATATTTTTGTTCAAAATTCTTTGAAATATTCTTCTATAGATTTTCTGGAAAACTTCAATTTTCATCGGGGTACATTATGACTCTATCAAAACTTTCTTCTGATCACGCTCAAAATTTCACTCTACATACCTAGGACCATACCTAAGAATATAAATTTCTTTTTTTGACTTCTGATTTTTCCTTCTCGATATATGAGAAAAATAACCAAAATAATTCAATTTTTCCAAACAATTCAAGATTTAAAGTAGAGTTTTGACCAATTTTTTCGTATCTCGAGAAGGAAAAATTAGAAACCAAAAAAGGAAAGGATGGGGAACGGTTTCTGGAAGAAAATGACCCTATATTTTTTGGAGAAAATAACGATTGGAATTGATCAGAAACGGTTCATTATTTAGTTTTTAATATTTCTACGTCTTAAAGTTGATTGTAGACTACCGTATGCTGAAATTTTTAATCATTTCTGAGCATCGATCCAAAAAGCCTATTCGATCGTATTTACTCATTGTTCTCTGTGAGTTCAATGTTCTTAATAGAATTTTATATCTGAAAACATGCGCAATTACGCGGGCATAAATGCTTAACAGGTATCTCGATCTTTTTCCTATAGTGTGGCACATAAAAATGATTATAGTTTCTTCTACCGACAGAGATTAGGCATAGTTTGTATATAGAAAAATGTAGAATTAAAAGGATTAACGAATAAGCTATAATCAATAATATATTTTTCCGTCTTGAGATATGAAAAAATTGGTCAAAACTCTACTTTAAATCTTGAATTGTTTGAAAAAATTGAATTATTTTGGTTATTTTTCTCATATATCTAGAAGGAAAAATCAGAAGTCAAAAAAAGAAATTTATATTCTTAGGTATGGTCCCAGGTATGTAGAGTAAAATTTGAGCGTCATCAGAAGAAAGTTTTCACAGAGTCGTAATGTACCTCGATGAAAATTGAAGTTTTCCAGAAAATCTATAGAAGAACATTTCAAAAGGCTAAGGGACGGATGTGAAGAGGTGTACGCTCTCCAGCTTTTCAAGAAAATCTTTTCTCCTTAACAATCTCTTTTCTCCCAAAAATTTTGTCAGAGCTCTTGCCCAGATTTGGTAGCGAATCGAATCAATATTAACGAAAAACTGCTTTCTCCCACTTTTTCTTCCAAGCTATTTGAGAGCAATATCTTTCTCTCACGTTTTCAAAGAGAAAAAAGCTCAGATTAATAACGAAGATAATAATCAATAGATATATGTGTATAAAAGAAAATTGTGTTTTCTGACTTCTATGGCTACGCAGGCAAACGTTTTCTGCGAAAAAAACGTGTTAGAGTGCGTTTAAATTTTCATAGAAATTAACGCGTTTAGCAGGATGTTTTCTGTCACATTCCGGACGTTCAAACGCGTTTCTGACCAACACGTTTCACAGTGTCAATAATCAATTCGTTAAAGTGCGTTATAATTTAACGCGTTTGAACGCCCGAAATGTGACAAAAAGTATCCTGCGAAACGCGTTAGTCTCCAATGCGTTTAAACTGCGTTAAATTTTTAAATTTGAAAAGATTAAAAATTAAATTCAGAATTGAGCTGACGTGTACAGAGAGTCTCCATGCTCGCACACGGTCATTCACAGCTATCTTAAAGTCAAGGTTCACAAGTTAAGGAAGATAGAAACTAAAACAACTTACTGTGTTGTGACGATGATTCGAACGCGGGTATCTAAAATTAAGAACCAAGCATAACAGGTTGAGCTAAAGATGCTCAAAAGATGAACTGTATCATCAGTACGTGTTTCAAGCATCGATAGCTTACCGAAAAAATGTTCTTTTCTGTTTGCTTGCTTGCGTCTTAATTCTAGGTCCCGAGCAGCTGTTTTTTACTCTTGTCTGCAGAGATTTTTCATTTTGTTCGAAGTAAAATAGCCTTAAAATCACTTTTTATTTTCCGAACTAGTGACTGGGAGGCTCGAATGAAAGTAATTACTGAGTTTTGTTGCTGTTTTTACCTATAGATTCAGTTCCAAAATTGAAGAACTTCTGCGAAAGTTCGAACACAGTCGAATTTCGAGGTCCTGTGCATCTCTATCTTTATGTAAACTGGTCACACACTGAATGGCCTGAAAGTCTGCTCGGAGAAGGATTTCACATTTACACTATTTCAACAATGGAAAAGTGAAGTATGTGAAAGCAGAAGGTGCTTCAGGTCTTGTACTAAGTGAATTTTACTAAGTTGCTTTTCTTCTGATCCTCTTGATCAGCCTTATGGTCCGTTAATGCTTGCTTCTTAATTCTAGATACCCACGTTCGAATCATCGTCATGTGTCGATTAAAATAGAAATTTATATTTATGTTTGTTATTTTCTTGTATTTTATAGAGAAAAATCCTATAGAGCTACAGAAGAAACCTTTTTTGACATTCTGTGTAGTAGAAAAAGGTTAAATAAGGCAGTGAAAATGGTGGCAGATGGTACTTTTAGATAAAATTAAAGAATTGAAAGTGATAGTGGGAAAAAATTAAAAAGTTTTCGCTTCCAGATGAATTCACTCTATACTTAGTGATGTTCATTTTAAGAACCAGATCAATGATTGGACAGTACATTTCTTATATCTTGGATATGTAAAATTTTTAGCAACAGCAAAAATATGTTTAAAAAAATGTTGTCTCTACGGAATGGAAGCTTGCCATTTTTTTGATAGCTTAAATTTGTTGTAACACTCACTTCTTATTGATCAGCACTTATTTTGTTTTTCTGTCTAGATTGATGCAGTTAAATGATAAAAATGATTGTGATATTTGAACTCGACTTGTGCGTACTAAATACATTTTGAGAGAAAACTTATAGCGAGGCACGAGAACTGCACGCGCAATAAGGACCAGTTCAAGTTTCCAAGGCTTGAGCTTTTCTGTAACGAAAAAGCGGTTGTAAAACAAAATTTATTTGCTGCAGTTTAATAATCGAAACAAGCGTTTATAATAGTATTGCTTGTTGACGTATGAATTATCAATAGTACTTGTGTACTTAACTGCGGTTGAGCAGTCGTAAATTGTGTATGTTCCCGCACGGACCTTGTTATTGGAAAAACTTGATTGTATAAATGTTGGTAATGGTTTATTAACAGCTACGCCATCGGATATGAAACGCAAACGAGATGAGATGAATGAGAGCAGCCAAGAAGATGTAGATGTAAATACTAATGATATAAACAGTCAGCTGGGTGATAATCTATTTGATGACATATAAACTGCCTTTTAAATAAATTTTCTAGAATCTCAAACTGCGATTCTGGTGTTTTTAATAAAGTTTGCGCGACGTAGATGGAAAGTTAAACGCATAGAAAAGCACTGTAAGACTCCCTGACGATTTTCTACAACATTTCTATTTAATTAGGGAGAACAGGTGAAGTTATAACTGAATTTACGCAACTGTCAAAAATAATCTTAGTTCTAGTGTCGGTCCCGATTTGGTCCCGGAAAAATAGTCTGTAGTTCCGTCCCGGTCCCGGTAAAATAACGTTTTTGGTCTCGGTTCCGGAAAAATAGTTTGTAGTTCCGTCCCGGTTCCGGTCCCAGTCCCGTCGGGACCGGGTGAGTCAATAATTAAAATCTTGTGTATATACAAAATAACAATTATAACGAAGTTCTATCAAAATGATTTTTTTTTATTGTCCAAGTAGTGGTAATATCAAGGAAACAAGATCATGAGGCGTTTCTTGCCATTTCTTGGACGAAGGAGCTTTCACTAGGGTGTTTAGCATGCTTTGTAATCGATAAGTTTTTAATTAAGCCACCATGAAGACGTAGTTGCTATTTTTTATCGTTATCTATTCACATATTGAGACCTTGAGCTAAAAGATGTTTTAAATATCGAGAAATATTGGATTCGTAAAGGAATAGGAATTTCAGTTGTGCAACATCTGTTCGGTCATGTCATAACCATCTATTCACATGTGACTTCGAGTTTGGTTATGGAATTGAGTGTATCCTAGCAAAATCGTTTACTCAGTCACTATGGAAAACATTTTGATTTTAAGACACTCCTCAACATGGATCTCTGGATAACTACAGGGATGGCTATCTTCGACTATGCGCTTATAACGCTGAGTTGGTGTTAATCCATGAAATGCTAATTTAGTCTGTTTCTGTGAACAAAAGCAGTTTTCATCCATCAGTCCGTTTACGTCTTCCAGCTCAAAAAGGTCCCCAGAGAGAGAACTTTTTTCAAGTAAAAGTTTAGTCTATTTTCCGTACAGCTAAAATCACAAATGGCACTTTCAACATTTTGATCTCACAACCATCTGAGGCTGTGAGTGATAGATAGGAGCGTCATCTTTCGATATTATTTATATTTTGCTCTAAGCATTTCGTGACCCATTTTCTATGCCAAATGTTGAATTTTTGTGTTCCTATCCTATTTCATATGTTTTTTTTGATCGATGTTCGCGACAACCTCATTATTGGTTGTTGAGTAAAGGCATACATGTAAGAAAAAATGAATGAGGGGCAACAACAAAACCAGCATTCATATTTTATATGAGAAAATACTTCTGTATTCTTTATTTTTTTATTTTTCGCATCTAATAATAGAATCTTTGTGATTCTGTCGCACTTTTATTTTTATTTTATTCTAAAATGACAACAATAGGATTTTAGTTTCTCTATGATTAAGTTTTTTTCTAGCAAAAATAAATAATTTTTGTTTTTTACTTTGCTAGAGAATCCGATGATGCATTACGGAGAGGACAAGGTGAGTATCGAAAAAAAAAGATTGTACTTCTATGACAGGTTTTGCACGCAAACATGGTATAGTTTTTTCTTTCTCAGTATGAGTCAGTCACAACGGCAAAGTTACGTAATAATTTTCGTTCGTTCGTCAGCCCGGCAGTTGGTGTAAAATATTACAACACAGAACACAAGAAACAAAGAAAGAAAGTGCAAGAATCGAGAAAATAAAAAAACGTGCTTTCTAAACAAAAAGCTTTTTCTATATTCTATCGCTTGTTTTATTCGTATTTTCATACAATTTTCTTTCCTTTTGTATACACTTGTAGATATAAGAAAAGAGAAAAATATATACAGCAGAAATCGTCAAAAACACAGCGCGTACAAACATTCATATCAAGTATTTTGAACCTGTGGAAAAAAACGAAAGCACAATAATTTGTTGTTATTAAAATGATGGATTTATCAAAACTTTTATGCTTAATTGTTTTGATGATCAATGTGATCTATATAAATGGATTTATTGAAACATTATTTAAAAGGGAAAATGATTGTTATCAAATATGCTCGGCAACCTATCCATTACATACTTATCCAAACTCACATCATTTGAGTGCTTGTAAAAAAGGTATAGTGTGATGTGATCATGTCAAATATTCTTGTGACTAACTTTTTTGTAGTGGAACGAGTATAATCTGAATGCCATTCAATAGAAGGAAAGAAATAATTGTTTTGAAATTAATATACCTTTAAACGTTCAATTACTATGAAATTTTTTTAGTATTAACTTATTTCATTTAGGTTGTGACCTAAAATTACTTAAAACAACGAAAGAATGTAAAGAAGCTTGTCAGTCAGCAGAGTTCGACCTTGCAGCAAGTTGTCTTGTTGGTTGCGATCCAAATGCGCCAAAAATCAGTCAACCAGCTGCTGAAACGAAACCAAACGTGAGTGTTTTTGTGTTTTTCTCTCTTGAAACAAAGAGCTAGTTTCGACGCTTTGTAAGAAAGTGTATCGATTGAGATAAACGTCAGACAGCTCGATAGGAAACTTTTTTTCGTTTTCATAGTCCATTAAATCGATTTAGAGCCAATAATTTAGAAAAACTAACCGTTTGACAAAAACAGCATCCATATTTTATTCAATTAAAATTAATATTACTCAACGTTTCGACTATCCATACAGTCACTTTGCAGAGAACATACTGTACATAAAATTAAGTTAAACTTAATTCAACTTAATTTAAGTTTATATTTTAGGAACTTAATTTTAAGTACAGTATGTTCTCTGAAAAATGACTGTATGGATAGTCGAAACGTTGAGTAATATTAATTTTAATTGAATAAAATATGGATGCTGTTTTTGTCAAACGGTTAGTTCATATTCCATTACTCTGTAACAAGTACTTCTAACTCGAGGACGTAGTTTTTTGCTGAGTTAGAAGCCATTAACAACAATTGTAAAAAATTGATGAAAAACAACTTGCTGTGATACACTCAACTTACAAACCGTTAGTGTTTAATGCCTTCAATATAAAACAAACAAGTTTTGATTATTCTAGGTTGACACTGTTCAAAAAGTTGTTGAAAATAATGATGAGCATCCAAAATCGATAATATTAGTTCGTCTTCGTCAGCGACCGCTAATTCAATTACCATCATTTGAACGTGTATTTAACAGTGATCCATTTCAAATGTTTGATGATATGTTAAAACAGATGAAAGAAAAAGCAAGTGTTTTCGAAAAAACTTTTCAATCATCACCGGAATCAATTGAACAACCCAATTTTGGTCCCGTTCTTCATTTTGCACAAAATATTCTATCAGATACAAAAACATTCGATCAAAACGAAGAAGATTCATCATCAAGCGAATCAAGTGAAGAAAAAGACGGTAATATCAAAGATCGTCATTCAATGATTAATAGAATAAATGTTCAACATCCAAGAGAACACCACCAATGGATTCAACAACACGTACAACCAATAAATTCTCGTTTACAACAATTTTTTACCAATGTTAAAACCGAATGGAATGATTTAATTCGTAAACAACCCAAAATACCCATATGGATTTTTATTTGTATATTATTAACATCATCGGCTATCCTCTGGTATATGGCAATCAGTATGGTAAGATATTCTTACAGTCTTTTTCCATGAAATCTTTATGTTGACTAATTCACTACACACTCGTTTTCTATATTTTTTAGTGTCGTCATGCGCCATCACGAAATTTATCGATACGTAGTCAAGAGCTAATATTTCATCCTTATGAAAGTAGTGATGTTTTCGCAGAGAAAGAAAAAATTCAACCGGATGAATTATACGAAACACAACCACTAGCAATCAAAGTCAAATTATCAAATATATAAATCACAAACAATTTTTTTACAAGTAAATAGAACACAGATCTGATAACAAATATGATTATTATTCGTTTTATTTTCGTTTTATTCGATATATACAAATATCACAGAGAGAATGAACAACTTTCTTTATCTCTCTGAATTTCATTATTTATCGATACTCAAACAAACCTCTTTTCGATCTAACACATTTTAATCAGGCCATCGTTTTATCTTTTGTTGTTGTATAGAAGTTTTTTTTTCAATCATTCTACAAGTACTCGTACAATCTTTGATTGTGCTGCTTTTATTTATGTGTGTGTGTGTGTGTGTGTACGCGTACTGCATTTTAGTTAGAAAGAAGGGACTACTAGTGATGTTGATTATGAATAAAAGCAGCCTGTGAGAAACTCATTTTTTTCTTGTTTTTTTCGTTATAAAAAAAATATTAAATAAAATTCTCAAAAAAACCACCGAAAGACAATTTGACTTGCAGGCGATATACAGGAAACATATCCCAAAGTTGAAATGATATATATTGACTTGGCTAATTGTGGATGATACGCGCTGATCCGCGAAACGATCAAGTTTTCGTTGTTTGTACATTCTATGTACCAAGAAAGTGAAAAATGTTTATGCATGTTTTAAAAATGTTAATGCATTTTTTTTCTCAGACAACAAGTACTTTAGAAGTAACAGAGCAAGCACGATCCTCATTCGTAGTTAAATATTGATGAGAGAAATAATAAGTATTACATGTGAAGTTAGTTGACGAATTCAACAGAAAAAAAACTTTTTCAGGAAAACATTGATAAAAAGATTTTTCTGTTATTTTTCTTAATTAGAGTTACTGTAACTTTTATTGTTTTTTAATGGTTAAGGTCACGAAAGCGATCACATCATGATCATGATATATAATGTTTTCTAATTATGAAACAAAATTGACTATCGTGATTGGAGAGAATTGTTTACAGCACGGTTGCCGAATATTATCATAGTCTTCGAATGTTACCATCGTGACTAACTAATATTTTTTGTTCTATAGTATGACTCAATATTCGAAGTTATTGATGAATATTCTTGATGATTTTATTCACGTTTTCATATGTATCATTATAACACAAGAAAAATTATACATTAACATTTATACACATTAAAATTAGCACTAGAAATAACTATATTAGTTCATATTTTAGTTTTCTGCACGCAATGACTAGAGAACAGTCTGATCATATTGAACAATAGTAATTCAATCAAAAATTTCGTCTTCTAAAAAATTTCTTCCGTCTAAATGTATTATTTGGTTATTAGACATTTCTCAACAAATTTGAGCTTAGAATAACCTTTCAACAACAACTATATTATGATAACAACGTGATGTTTTATTATCGATTTTATAGTTTTATATACTACAACCAAAATATATTTAAATTAAAAAATTTGTTGTGAACGTTAGTCTAAACATTTAGTCTATACATACAAATGTAGAATATAGTTAAACACAACAGACAGTTGTTGAAATGTAACGCATTATAATAAAAACGCACCATAGAAGTTTGAAATTTTCAATAAATTCAAAAGTAGCAGATGAATCTGTTAATAAGATATTGGTACAAATACGACTGAAATAGATCTCACCCTTTCACGTAATGAATAAACAAGAATATATGATGTTATGAGAACGTACTATATCCAGTATGTGTAGCTCACTAACATTCATACTGACGCCTAGTCTTAGCAGAAAATTGTGTCACAACTTTTTCTAGTCTAATTCTCCATATAGTATCATCTGAAATTGTTGAATCTCCTTTTAATCTCCTTTCCTTTTTGATTTTTTGTCATAAAGAAGAAAAACACAGTTGTTACAGTTCAATTTTAATACGGATAAAAATGAGAGATAATCTGATAGGCAAAAACATAAAAATCAGATTTCTTTTTTTCAGTTGTGTTAAAATTGAATTCTAGTTTTATTCTGAATGTCTTGTTTCTACAGAAATTAAAATATCTAATATCTAAAATCTGATAGAGACATCAGTGTATTAGAAATAGTCCTAATGAGAATCGTTCGGCTAATTATTGCACAAAACAAATAGACGACAATCTAGTTGTGAATACACAATAGTTCGATAGTGAGGATACTATTAACATGTTTATGTTCACTGGAACCTTGGGTAATAATAAAACATGAAGACACCCACAGACATGCACTTCTGCAAACGTAGAAGCGGATGTCTGTGTAGCTGCTTTGGATTGTCTGTGTGCTGTCTGTAGGTGTCTTTATGTTTTACTATTACCCCTGTAATCTTAAAGATCCACCTGTTAAGTGGCAGATATTCAAACAACTAGACCTCGGACAATAATGATTCAGGTATCATTTTAAAGATTACATAATCTAGTAGAACAACAATTGAATTAAAGAATATTTAAGCAATGCATGTTTCAACAACTAAAATAAATTTTAAAAAATTAATTCGCTTTATTTGAGCGCTATTTTTCAAAACATTTCATGTGAATTGCTTGTTTGCAAGATTTACAGAACTTCATAGTAATTTTATGACAAACACAACGTCGTGTACGTTGTATTAGAAAGAAAATGTGTTGCATTTGAATTTAGTACTTTTGACATCGATGACCTACCATTATTTGCTTTCTGAAAAGATTTAATAACACGCTATTTTTGTATATTTTGTAAATCAAATAAGATTTTATAACCATCTAGGTCTAGTTAATATTTTAAGAAGAAAAAGTTTTTATTTTTTATTATTATTAATTTAATGAAAAAGTTACCAGAGCAGTAGAGTCGAGTATGAGTATTATGTCTTCAAGTACGAGTATGTGATCGTTGAGTAGGAGTAAGAGTACGAGTATATTTTGTTCCAAAAAAACCAATGAATTTGTACATATTTGTCTTTTTTTCAGTAAGCTGCCCACACGCCTGTCTTTTCAGTATTTGAACTACGACATCTTAATACTTTTCTGTCTTTCGTTTGCGTGTTTATTTATTAATTAATTTCTTTTTTTCTTCTTTTTCTCTCACGCTGAGAACCAACCAATTTTCTTTCTCAATTTTTGATAGCATAAGAAATATTATTTATTCAATTTGAAAGTTTCCGTAGAAAAAGCTTTCTCCAGCATATAGATGAGTGACTGAGTACTCGAGTTTGAGTATGAGAACAAGTATCTGACCATGAAATGCGAGTTAAGTGATCTAACAACAATCTACGGTATCGTGCAGCTCTAAAAGTTATTCATACAGTCAACAATATTTCAAAAACAGATACAATTAATACTGTCTATTCAAAGAAAATATTTGATGACATTACTAATATAAATAAATTTAATCCTTTCAATTGTTTTCTTGCTAAAAAATAAGATGTTTCTTGAATCGAGGACAAGTTATTGTTATACATATGCAAAGATAGTGTTCGCTAGATTGTAGATTTTGCTTCATGTTTGGATAATTTTCATATTTAGTTTCATCGTTTCGTATTCGTTTTTTAAGATTCCTGAGTGATTCATTGTTCATCTGACATTGATAAAATTTTTCATTCTAGTAGCGTCTATTCTAATTTGTTGCTTTATATATATATATATGAAAAACCTTTTTGAAAAATAATGAACACAAGATGTAGACTGACATTAATAGAGAAAAAAAACACTCGACAAACTCTAAAGAAGAAATTTTTCGTTTGTAATTAATTTGAAAATTTAATTCAGAAGAAACAAAATAACATGAAAAATACAACATGAATACATTTATCTGAAGGTGCTTAACAAATAAACCACATACACAATGGCATTTAATCAATTGACTATATGATTAAAACCAGAGAAATAAGAATGTTCAAGTGCTTCTTCAGCTGATATTCGGTGATTTGGATAGCAAACAAGACATCGCTAAAATTTAGAAAAAAAATAAGATTCATTTTCTATTCAGACATATGTGAAAGTCTAGCACTTACTTGTAATAAATTTTTTCCTGTACTATTTAGTTTAGGAACAAATTGAATAACTGATATATTTGGTTGATAAATTGGAAATGGTCTGTATTCCGGTAATGATGTCACACCTGGCCATGTTTCTTCGGTGGGTGTGCCAGTCACTCTTTGAAAGAAAAAACGATTAACAAAATAGTAGTTAACTACGATTGTCAAAATCATACTTGAATATTCGTCGAAGTTGATCGTCGACATTTTCTCCGGGAAACAAGGGTTTCCCTCCATTTGCCAATTCGGCAAATATACAACCGGCAGACCAAATATCAATCGATGTTGTATAGATCTTAGAAGCAAATAAAACATCTGGTGGTCTATACCATAGTGTTACCACCTAAAACAGACAAATATTAGTCACAATACCGTTATTGAAATTGAATTACATACTTCAGAAGAGTAACATTTGACTGGTATGCCATAAGCTCGTGCAAGACCGAAATCTGCCAATTTCAGATCACCGTTCTAAAACTAGATAAAACGTTTAGTTGACATAATAACGAGAGATTCTTTTTTCCATTATATGAGTATAGCTGACCTTATTGATTAAAAGATTTTGTGGTTTTAAATCACGATGTAAAACATTATGCGAATGGCAAAAGCTCAAGCCTGATAATAATTGCCAAAAAAATGACTACATATAAATATAAAAAGTGAATTATTAATAATGATAAAAGAATAAGTTATTGTAAAGTACCCGAACTGTTTCAGAGTCGATATCACCAGTGCATGAATCAAAATATTTTTTAAGATCTTGATCACAATATTCAAATATCAAATTAAGAGTTTTCTCCGTATGAATAACATCAAGTAGTCTATAATAAGAATAAAGGCTAAATTCTATATCGTTTGTTTCACAAATAAAAACTTACCGGACGATATTCTCATGTCGTAATTCTTTCAGCAAACATATTTCACGTAGCGCTGAACTTGGGACACCCTTAAATATATAAATTAATTATGCTTTATTCAGCAGTAAGTGAGAAACAATGTGATTTACATCATCTTCATCGTCGAGACGGACTTTCTTCAGTGCAACAATATCTTCTGTTATAAGACTGCGAGCTTTATACACAGTACCATATGTTCCTTAAAATAGAGCAAAGGCAGATGATAGACAGTCTTTTCGATTAAAAAACAATAAAAAAATTTTACCTTCGCCAATTCTTTCTATTTTTTCGTACTTTTCATTTCTCGACATCGACTTTTAATGTGTCCCTTAGATGATCTAGAAATATAATGAATTTGCAGTCTATGAAAAGGTGAAAATCAGTGTGATTTTCTAAATGAGACGTAGATCAAAGTATAATTGTATCAAAATCAGTTTTTAAATTTGACTAAAATACATTCAGAAAGCGACAGAATATAATGGTTTATTTTACTGTATTAAATACTATGTAGATAAAAAAGTGGAAAAAAGACTGTTTTAAAAACGTTCAGTATCAAATAACAAGAGTAATAAATATGACTTATAAAAGCGGTACAAAAATAAAAAATATAAAACACATTATCTACTCATAACGAATAACTTTTGTCAAAAAATCACACTATCAGTTTTTTGATTGTAAACTCTTCCTTTTAAATTTTATTAACAGAAATTATTTCAAAAACGTTTCGGAAGAATCTTCTTCCTTCTTCAGTTTGAAAAAATGAAGGAAGAAGATTCTTCCGAAACGTTTTTGAAATAATTTCTGTTAATAAAATTTAAAAGGAAGAGTTTACAATCAAAAAACTAATTCAATGTCCTTCCAAACTATCACACAAATCACACTATCTTTCAAGCATCATATTGTAAATATCCTAGAAAGGTACATAGCCAGGAGATGGGTACGGACTGAATCAATCTGATTTGTCTGTAAATTGCGCTGAAATGGCTATTAAATGTTCATTTTGAATCGTATATCAGTTTAGATGCCTATACCTTTTACGTATCATATCTATCAAGAATACAGCTATTGAGGGATCTGCTTCATCTACTTTCTTTGCAAGGGTCTCATTCTTAGATAGCGTCATTAATAGAAATCTTCGACAGGAACCTCTCTTCTCAGATGTGCTCCGTTTCTTTCCTTTGTGTACAACTAAAATCTCTATGGATTCAAGTTAAACACGACTCAATAAAAGCAAAAACAGAATTCTGACGACGTGCCTGACTTCAGATCATATCCTTAAATAGATAAGACAACGGTCAAACATCGATATCAACACAAATTCAAATAAATCAAATACATTTAATAGAATAAAATTGGACGACACGTTTAGCGTATAGGAGTATTCAATAGTGACGTTGCGTGTGTTTCTATGTTAGCTGTTTGTGAAACATTGATCAGATGGTGTAAATCATAAAACTCTATTATCTAAAACATTTACATTAATCTCACAATAATATTCAATAGGCATCAAAATCCTCGTAAAGAAGTTTATAATAGGAATATCATTGTAAAAAGAGTATCAGCTTATACTTTGGTATATAAAAATCATTATATACGCGTAGTAGACTGATAGTATACTTTGGATTCGATTTCCAACCGAGGTATATTTTTCCACAAAGAGTTTCTATTCAAAGAATTGTCGGAGAATATATCCAATATAACAGTTTTCTCTAGTATAGTGATTTTTAGTTTTTTGAATTCAATAGACTAATGTGTATACAATAGTTAGCTCTTACTCTTTACTCAAATATGTGTATAAAACTACAATAAGAATACAATTTGTTTTTTGTCTTTTTTATAAAACGACGAAATACAAAAAATTTGTGTACAAAAAATAAATATGTTGTCGATACGAGAGAAGACAGAAGAAAAATATAATTTAAACATAAAAATGAAGACTGCATACATGGATCAAAAACGATTTACAAAAAATTAGAAAAGAAAATAACAATACATACCATAATAACAATTGAACGCACGCTTAAGCTTGATCATCGTCATTAGCAGACACTAAAGAGAAAATAAAAAAACACCATTTTACAAGGAATAGAAAATTAGTTGAAACTTTTTTAGATCCCTTTCTAAGTATATTTTTCACCATATACAAAATGATTCAAGCAATAACCAACATCAATTAGCAACTATGTTTTAATAAATTTGGAAATTTGTTTTAAAATCAACAAGTTTATACATCCGCACACATACTTCTTTGCTCGCTTGTTATTTTAGATGTACTAAAATAGCATAAAGAAAATCTCCTTGCTCGAAGAAAAAGTAACTGTTGGTCGTATAGTTGTTTAAAAGATTATTCCAAGACAGATACTATCTATATCACATGACAATGTCATTTGAAGTCATTATAGTTTGTGAGAGTGTATTATTTGTGAAATAGAGAAACGTAGATAGGGATGAAAATCTACTTCAGTAATATTCGATTACATACTTTCCATAATTAGTGCAGCTTTTCGTCTATCTTCGACAATATATAGAGAACAAAATAAAAATGCGGCACCACCTAATGTAGCAACAAATGGACAAATCATTAATGCGTTCCGTAAAGACACCCAGTTTGATAGCGTATCTGTGGCATCTTTTCGAAAGTAATCGCTCATTAATCCAACAATATAAGGACTAGTTGCGTCACCCAATAAATGTGATGCAAATATTTGCAAGGCAGCCGCTGTTGAACGACGTGTAGGTATAACAATATACTAAAATGATATAAAAAAATTCAAAAGATATATTTTTGAACATTGTTACAGTAGTGGAATAAAGTTACCAGTAACATATCACTTATCAATGCCCAATTAAAACACATGAGTGTTTCTGCCAAAAATATGCATATCCATGTTAAAGCAATACTTTTATGTGAAAAAACTAATACAATAAATAAAAATGGCATGGCACCTAATATTCCCCATCCACAAACAATCGGATCAGCGCTGGGATTAACCTTACGATAACTAAATATAAAAAAATAACAATTAACCCTTTGGTGACGGGACCCGTATATATACGGGCAGTACATAAAACCTTCGTTACTTCACTTATTTTGCACCTTTCCCACTTCCCATATATTTTCTAGCAAACATAATAATATATTTGAGATCAGCAGACAAAACTGGGTCGAATAGCATACTTAAAACTCGATTTTCAATCAAAACAATTTCATTTGAAAATTTTCTCTCTAGGTTAGAGGTGAGTGTGTAATCCTTCTTACAAAAGTTTCACCAACGTTTTTTCGAACCATAGGCTTTCATGATTATTTTTTCATGATTACCATGTACATGAATTGCAAATTCTATAGTAGAAAGTGCGACCCTTGGTTCATCACTGCCGCCCTTCTACGTATGTTTCAATCGTGAGTGCTCGTCCTTAATGAATTTCCAAAATCACACAATAGTTAACCTTCATACTTTGGCTAGATAATCTACAGACACTGTAGAGTCTTTGATACGAATTTGAAGCCAAAATGATGCTCTTAGACTGAGTTGTAAATTTCTTTTCGCAAAGAACCTCGAATTTTCAACAAAAAAAGCTAACCTCTTCCGTAAAATAGCTATATTTCACTGGCTCCTAACAGCCAACTCACAAAATTCATATCGTAGATAGAGTAGAGTGTGGCTGCATTTTTGTAAAAAGAAACACCTTTCATCTCTCTTAGGTCAGGAGCTATTGACATTTTACGGAAAAGAAAGAAATTGCTTATATCTCATGAACCATCCAGTAAAAGAGGTGCAAAGTTGGTAGGTGATCAGCATTTGGGAAGAGCTATGATCACACAAAATTAGAAGTACTTAGCTATCATGGCTCTTGAGTTACAGGGGTGTCGCTACTATTGCACTATTCCGCGATTAGTTTTTGAAAAAATAATCCCGTCCTCAAAGGGTTAAAACATTAAGTGCGTGAGATTACATCACCGAATAACTGAATATTATCACGAAGAGTCGGGAGATCTCAAAAAGTCTATTCTAGTCTATTTTACAAATACTATTATTTGCAATTTAACATAGTAAGATTGAAACGACTGATTTAGTAGATGATAGATTAGACCAACCGGCGAGCAATTTCAGTGCCAGCAGTTACACCAGTGATTCCAGCAAAACACGTCACGATTCCTGAAATGAAAAAGTAAATAACTTCCACAATAAATTTATCTGTTGGAAATATGATCTGATAGAATTTTACCGAAATATAATGCTACGCTAAATAGAAACAAAATACACATCAACAACATTAGTATCAGAAACTTGAAATAAATAAAAAACGTACTTTTTCTCTTCTTTACTATGATTTGCAATTTGACTAGCGTATTTTAAAAAATTAGGAGCCCACCAAGAAACCGCACCCAGTGTGAAAGCGACCCAAGTAAAGGCTAATGATGACAAAATGTAACTCTTACTAGAAAAATAAAAAAGTTTGAATCAAAAACAAAACTATTTTTGATAATAAAACTATACTCACATTTTAATCAATTCTTTAACGTCTATTAGCCAACCACTTGCTTTTTGTATAGGTGCACCATCAGCGCTCCCTCTCACAGGTTCACTGACAAGAAACAAAAGAAGAATGACACATATAATGCCTAATATTGGCGTAATCTAAATGAAAAATGATTGTAAATAAACCATAGAAAAAAAATAGAGCGTTCTCTCGTTATCTTACTTACTCGTAAAGCCCAACGCCAATCGTTGAAAGCAAGGGCAATATTGGATCCGATTATATAGCCAAGTCCACTAAAACGAAAAAATTATCTTACAGTTCCATTATTGAAGAAAAACTTTAGCGATGAACCCTATTTTCCAAAAGCGATAAAACACAAAATGCAGTAAGACAGACGTTTAAAGCAAATACCTTCCCAATGGCACAGCGATATTAAACAGAGCCAACATTTTTGTTCTCAGATCATCTTTATAAAGATCACCAATGATCGTTGGAGATACCTGAGAAAATGAAACCAGTTTAAGAGTAAAATTTTTATGATTTTTAATCTTTTGTACTGAAAAAATAATTTTTGAAAATTTTATGAATTTAAATTAATATATCATACATACGCATGAATACGACGCTTCGCCAACTCCTACCAAACTTCTTAATAATACAAAAACAGAAAAAAGCTAAACACGAAAACATTAAAAGAAATTATAAATAAACAGATTACACCAAAAAGTTGAAATCACTAAACTTACATGAGGAGGAACAAATGAGCCAGCGAGAGTTGTTATTGACCACAATGACACACCGAGTAAAATAATGGTTTTTCGACTATATCGATCACCCAAATAACCGAAAAGAGGCGCTAATGCCATATAACTGCAAATAAATACCGTTTGTAATAGACCACCCTTAGAATCACTGATATTAAAATATTTTTGAATTTTATCCAATACACCTATTGATTGAAAAGAGAAATATCATCGAAGTACGCTCAAATGGCTAGCGCTGTTATTTGAACTACCTGCAATAGCAAATCTATCCATATAATTGAGTAAATTGATCAAAAATAAAACAAACATTGTTATTGCACTTTTATATCGAGGCTGGCGAATACGAGCAAGTATCGGTGTCTAAGGAAAACAAAACACATTTACCAGAGCAGAAAAAAAGCAAAATGTTGTATCTAACTTACACGTTCTGTGGATGCGATATACGCATCTGGTGTTAATTCTTGAGTATCAGATATATCCGCAGACATTTTACTACGAATCTGAAAAATATTCATTCTGTAAAGTTTTTCGATACAATAGCGGCTTTTTGGAAAATATTCGCTGACCTGGCAACGGATGACTGGACAGAAGTTTAAAAACTCCCACTTTTAGACATACATGAAGAATCACTTTTAGCTTGACAAAACTCAACAAATGCCAAAGCACATGAGATTCAGAATATCTTTTCAAATACTGCGATTATTAACATCCGCAATCGAATATCTGAGAAGTCAGTAGTTTGATAACCAAATATCGATGAAAAGATGACTGTCGGTGAAGACTGCAATTCAAGTATGTTTCGAAAAATATAAGCACGTTATTGCGATCTATATATGCTTATATTGCGTTAGGTATGACCATCACCATGAACGTAATTTATACGAATGTGGTTATTCAATTATTACCACATGTCTACCTGTACTGACAGACAGACCGACGAAAGAATTGTTGCTGGTTTGAGAGATTCACCATTTGACTGCTACGAATAAAGCAACATAAACAAAATGGATATTAAATTCAATTAACTAGTAAAAATGATATAATATAATACAAAGAGTTTGATTGGATAAAGAAACCCGCAAATTCAGCCATTGATGTGGACCTCTTCCGTGAGTATCCTACTTCAATGAAACGTAATATAGATGGATTAGCCATGCTGAATTTTTCTATTTTTTGACACGTAGTTCAAGTGATTCTTTATCCTTTTCACTCAGCTATCCAACGCAAATACTCTTATAGGATTTACATTGGAATTTGTATGCGCAAGCACGGTAGTTTTTTTCATTTAAGGAGCCCACCCTTAGGAAAAACTTTTTCTTTCACATGCGATTTCGATGGCACTTACAATGATTAATCCTCACTGTCCAACTAACTTATGCTAAAAATTTGAACTTGAAAGCCTGAAGCGTTACCCTAGTAGAGACTCCCGGCAAAACTCCAACGGGAGTCCCAAGTTTATGAAAAACTCCAGCAGGAATCGTAAGGAGTCCTGATGACTCTCGCAGGAACTTTCTAAAGTGAAAAGTCCAACATGGAGTCATGAGGAGTCCCCAAAAAATTCTTGCAGGGGTCCTGTCGAGAGTCCTGTTGGAGAAAATCATGCATGGACTCCTATAGAACTCCTCAGAGAGCAGAATTTTTTTCTTATGACTTCCATAAGAAAAAGTCTGTCAAGAGTCCCTAGAAATGTGTACTCCCCGGGAGTCACCCTCACACTCCCCGAGGAGTCCCTGCCAACTCCCCATTCACCGTTTGTTTTGCAGATAGGCAATATATAAATGTAATGTAGTTCTATGATAAAATTTTAAAAGTTTTCTTCTAGTAAATCAACATTAATGTGTCAAGCTTCGATGGGTGATATGTGCTTCAGCGGTACCAGTGATAGTATCTAGCACTTAATTACTAATTAGTTACATGAAATTAAGAAGATGGATCAATAGACCCAGAGGGAGTCCCCAAGGACTCTCTTGAAAATCCCCGAGAACTCTCCAGGGACTTCCTTAAGAATTCCATAGAACTCCTGTGGGAGTCTTGAGGAATCCCTCTTGAATTCCTTAAAAATCCTCCATGACTCCACAGCGGATCCTGGCGGGGCCCCGTGACAGGACTCCTGTAGGGCTTTTTTTCCAAGACTCCTGCGGGAGATTAATCAGGAGTCTCGACTAGGGTACCGGGTTATAGATAGGTTAAGGAGCAAAATAGGACTCTTAGCAACGCTATGGCTTGTTTATTAGCGTTTGTTTTTATTAAAAAACGCTATGGCTTGTTTGTTAGAAGGAGCAGAAACCTTAGAGAACGTACTTGATACCAGTACTTGATTACTTGCTAAGTACTTGGAAAAATGGGCAAGTGTTTTCAAAATTTCTCATTTGCTATGTACTTTCAGAAGTACTTCTCAATGATAAAAATATTTGTTTTATTGTTAAGAAGTACTTTGTAAAGGTCCTTGGCAAGTAAGGGCTTTTTTATCATCCTAAACCGAAAAGCGTATTTAAAAACCAAAAGGGTTTTTCTGCTTAACCAAAAAACTAAAAAGGATTTTTTAGAAGGAGTCGAAGGTTTTTCTAGCTTTGGTAAAAACTAGAAGGATTTTCTCCCAAACGCGTTTGGTTTAGGGAAACATCGTTTTTGGTTTTTCCAGTAGCGAAGAATTTTCAAGTCTGAGCAAAAATCAAAAGGGTTAATCGAAAAAAACTTTTAAAAAAGAGTTAATCGAACACTTTATATTTCGACATCCAACAAACAATTTATCTTAATGTCGGTGAACTCTTATGTAGCGATTTCTATATAAAGAAAGAGTAAAACGTTTGAAAAACGTTTGATACGAGATCTCTCAAAATAAAGTGTTTCTTAATGTAATTGACATACTAATTTCGCCATGTTTTAGCCGGTTTTCTCTTCGGGAACATAATGCTTTAATTCTGCTTTAGAAAAGTTAAAACGCGGATATAAATTAAAAATAGGGTTAAAATCAGCAGTTGCTCGGATAAGACAGGTTAGGACCGCTCGCCACTATCTGTTTACATGAATACTATACCTATGCTACAAGTACGCTCTCTGGGGAAGCTGGGGGTGGTCTCAAATGAAAGCAGACACTACCAGGTAGGAGATTTTATCCAGAAAGGGACGATAGAAGAAAATAAAAAAACAAAATTCCCAGTAAAAACACATAATGTCTGTCGACACAATGAAAGGTTTACGATGAATCGTAGCAGTTTTGCTGCGCCAAAACCATATCCTAAGCAATGACGTTATCACTTCATTAATTATAATTCAGCGTCTTTAGGAAAACTACTTTCACTTTGCCAGGCGAAATCTACCAACCTACGGGACATCTCATTTTGACCAGAACGCTCTGCTCAACATAGGTCCATGTCTGTTCAAACGGACAATCATAAAAATTTTAATTCTTTTTTAAATTTTAAAAAAGATGGTTTTTAGGGCTTTTTTTTTTTTAAACTTTATTTATTTATTGATGAAACAAATAGTTATAACTAAGACAGGTCAAAAGAGAGTAAAGCTCCATTATTATCATCCTGCCTAGCCAATCAAAAATGATAGATTTTTAGGGCTTTCTGAAGTCTTTGTCAAAATCCTCCAAAAACATTGAATTTCTGGAAAATTGAAATGGATTCTGAAACATAACAGTTTGGAATACTCAGCGATATGCTCACGTTTTAACCCATACAGATCAAGACTGTCACTGGATTTCTTGTTTTTCTGAAATTCTCGACTAGAATATTAGCGTCAAAAGGACATTTTCGAGACAGACGAACTTATTAGTTTTCGGAACATATTGTTAATAGAAGTCATCATCGAACAAGTCATAATCCACTATTTTAATTCAGGGTTTACATAATATATATATATATCCTCTTGAAGTGTAAGTTATCATATGAATTACTAAACGCTGCTGGTAGTTGCAACCATCTAACTACATCTATATCTTTCGATTAATGGTATCGTTGTGTTATTGAAAACAAAGTTGACTGTGAAACGTATCTGTATAACCCCACTATGGCGTTAATAGATGATATAGAGAGCGTTGTGTTACCTAACACTACATATATGATCCAGCAGTACTGCTTACGAAATAACAAGCATATTTTGGCGCAATTGATATACCAGGTTGTTTTACTTTCTCTTTTTTTCCTTGCATCTAAAATCTAAGAGTTTGATAATCTGAAACAGAGTTAATTTTGCTTCGCCTTTTTGTTCTCTTTGTTCTCGTACTTGTCATCAATTATTTTCTAGTACTTGAAAAATATCTGAGTACGCAATTTTAAAATGTTAACAAAATTTCTAATTGCCACTTCTAAAAAATATTTAATTTTCGGCGGAAAAAAAGTTAACAAAGAGCTATACAACGTTTGTACAATTGTTCAATGGTGAAAAACGGAAAAACTGAAATGGCGCTCGAGTAAATTTTTTTTGTAATTGATACTTGTAGTCGAAAAACGGTGTACACGCCCATTTCCAAAATCAAACGATATTTTTTCTGGACTCTAGTCGTCATAATTCGAATCCAAAGTTCTATAAATCAACTCATTAATCTTTGTGTTAAAATATGATATAAATGTGTAACACGACGACGATGAATTATATAATGTTCTCAACACTGTCGAAGGCATAACTTGCAAAGAAATAAATATTCTCTGTGGAAATCAGATTTTTTCGCATAATAATTTTTGCCTAGAAATTTAAAGATATTTACCATACCTGTTCATGTGTTTATTATTATTATCTCGAAGAATAAACGTACATTCGAAATAAATGACGACACGAAGAAGAAAAAAGAGAAAACTATCGACCAGCTGTAGTTGCAGTACGCAAACAGATAAACTGTTTAAAAAAAGTCATGAACATACGGAAAAAGGTTTTGTTATGATAAAAATTAATGAGAAAAATACATATTTAACAAAAGAAAGTCAAATTCAAACATATAAAACTAAACATTTTTTCATTGAAAAAAATATACATATACGATTCACTATAAAAATAATTAATTCGGATCATAATCTGCATATATAGCACAAGAATACCAAAGTGACATCTAATATGAGAACATACGAACCAAAATAAGTGTATTTAATTTGCATTATTAGTCGAATTGTCATTCACAGTGAGTAGGGCAAATGTTGCTGGTAAATAAATAATATTAGGTACTGAAGTAGAACGTTGCAAATCACTTGATGAAGTTGGTTGTGGTTGGTACGTAGTTGTTATAGCTAAAACTTGACTCATACCGGTAGTGACAGATCCAATCGATGGTTGTCCTCCAATGACTCCTGTTATTGCTGATGTTGATGCTGCTGTAATATTATCGTGTAAACCGAAATTTATTCTTGATGTATTACCATGATTATTATTCTGATTATTATCAAATGATGAACGATAAGATGAACCTCGAGAACGAATGCAGGAACGAAATGATCTTGAATAATTAAATGGAGAAGGTGTATTTGTTCCTCCGGTTTGAGAAGTAAGTGCAGCACCATGATGAGGTAGAGTTTGTATAGCATGTCGAAAAAACGAAGAAGAATTTAAATAGGTTGGAGGTGGTGGACGAGATCGAACAGATCGTCTAGTTGTAGAACTTCTGCCACCAAAGACTGGCGTGTATGTTATTGTCGTTCGGGGTGTTGTTGAAGATATTGTCGTTGTCGATATTTCTGTTCCTTGATTCGAATTACTGTTAGATGATGTTGCTACACTGTTGAAAAGAGCTTGTACTTCTTCATAATTAAAATGATATTCATCTTGATTATCTTTGGATTCAGTAGACATTTGTCGCTTTTCTTCGACAGTGTACATATCATAAAGGCAATGAAATCTAAAAGAATTTAAAACTATCTTTCCATAAAATTCAAACAAGTTGTAAAATACAATCGACCATTCTCTTCCGGTAACGTCTTCCTTGTTTGATCTGACTCTTGGGTAGCCAAATTCTCTGGCACTGTGATCATGCTTTTGCCAGAAACGGTAGAAGAATTTAACTTGATTATAACGAGAATGTTAAACGATCCAAAACCGAATAAAATAAAAAATTATTCTACAAACTAAGTCGCTAAAAATGATTAAAAACATTCTCTTAAACCATATAAACTAGACGGTTTATTTTGTAATTTTATTTTTTCTATTCTTTGACGAGAAGCCTGAAAGAATTATACACTTTGAAAATAGAGATGTATCTATCGAACACTTCCACAACACATGGCGAGAAGAAAAAGAGAACGAATACTCTTCTCTTCAGTAGTTTCTATTGATCAAAGTTAAAAGATTTTTCTATTATAAAATTTGGAGCTTGATATATGAATATTATATCATACTTCAACGCAAACAATATTTGCTGGTAACAACAGAGACATTGACAAATGTCAAGTAAAACAGATAAATTTAGAATTCCAGAGATTTTAGTGAATTGTGTAATTGTCTGATCTTCAGACTATCTGCTTTACACTTACCATCTGGAATAGTCGGTTAAAAATTAAAAGTGAATTTCTAATACTGCAAGATGATCTGCCTTAGAAAATTCACCTGTTCTGGTCCATTCTTGTTTATAAATTATCTATGGCATTAATGATCGACGTAACTAATCAAAGGAAGTTATAAATAGATATTAACACAACATTTTTTACATCAGTTGAAGTATTTGGTTTTCTTTTCTCTCTAATAACCGTGATCTCACTTAGTGTAAACTGATCAAAACGCTCTTTTAAAAGAATAAAATTGTAATTTATTTTTCATTAACCAGTTTACATAAAATAATGGCTGTATCTTGGTGGAGATACGGAAAAAATAACAATTAAATAACATAGACATCAGCTACGAAGTATTAAGGAGCATGTGAAAAGCCATTTTTGCTTTTTCCAAGAATTCTAAAAGTGTTTCACGAAATTTAGTTCATAGTTAATCTTTAAATTCAAAATCGATTTATCTAAACTGTTATTGATGTCAGAAATTGATGGTAAGATGAGGTGGCACTGATGCCGATATTTTTGTGCAGAGAACCATATTATGATGTAAAAAACTTACTGATAACTAATTCATAGTTCCTTGTACTAACCACAATATTATTTTTTTATATTTTATTCCATAAAAAACATCACTCGGCAGAAAATCAAGAGATAAAAAATGTAACAGAAAAAAATGTCATTGTGAGAAACAGCAACACCAACAGTCATTCCTTGAATATGGACACAATTTGAGAAGAAAAACAAAGTAATGAGAGTTCGTGAATATAAACTAAGTTTTAATAGCCTCTCTTCACAAGTAAAAAGTACGGATGCACACAAATACACAACAGTAGAAAAAGAAGAAATTGGACCTATTTGTTCTGGTGTTGCTGCCTGACTACACGAGAACATTAACGACAAAAAAAAATCCGTACATTGTCTTTTATTTCTCGTTTATCTTATGGCAATAATACCAACATCAATTAGTTTCTGTATTTTATGTGCAATAGCTGGATTTTTTAAATGTTCTCTTAATGCTTGTGGTTCATTTTGCATCTGTTCAAGTATAATTCGCATACCAGGATCACCTAAAATACTTTGAACTTCCGGATCGTTCATCGCTCGTTTACGAACTTCTTCGGGATCGCTATTTGCTTTCATTGTGCAAGAACGATAACCTTCAATTGCTTCCTAAAAATAGAAAATAAATATCTATATGAACTGATTAGAAGCACCAAAAACTAAAGAAACTATTTCGAAAGGTGATCTCTAACTACTGAAAATTAATATTCTAACGCGTTACTTACTTGACAATTTGGATCAATTTCTAATGCTTTCGAAAACGTTGACATTGCTTGACCAAGATCTTTCATAGCTATTAAAGCAGTTCCTTTTCGAAGATATGCTTTAACTTAAAGAAGATAAAAAAACAAAACATAAATCATTCATAAAAAAAATATATACACAAAAGTTATCGCTTACGAAACGTTGGATCTAATTTGATTGCTTCTTCACAATCTTTTAATGTTAAAGGAAATTCCATTAATTTCGAATAACATGCAGCACGGTTACTGTACAATTTAGGATCAGTGGGATTTCGTTTAATAGCTTCCGAATAATGTTTGAGTGCTGTTGGAAAATCTCCTTTTTGGAAATACTCATTGCCTTTATTCTTTTCTTCATTTGCAATTTCTGGATTAACATACGCTTTTGATTCTTCATCTTTCAATATTTTTTCAATTTCTTGTTTTTTTTTTAATACTTCAGGATTACGATGTTCAGATAAGGAATGATTAAAATATTTGATCGCTGATTGATAGTCTTTTTGTTGTGAATGAACGTTTCCAATGCGCGCATAGGCTCTGAAAATAAACAAAATATTATGAGGTTTATGATAGATCAAGACGCTATTTATTCGTACTTTGCAATAAGTTTATAATCGGCTTTATTTTCTCTTCCAATTTCGATTGCTTTTAAACATTGTTCGATACAATTATCCCATTGACCTTGTTCATAATAAACAGCTACAAAAGATAAAAAGGAATGATTCACAGGAATATTTGTAGTTCTTGTTAAGCCAACATACCAGCTTTATTTGTATAATATTTCATATTATTATCTAATTCAATAGCTTTATCATAATGTTGTAACGCTGTAGTAAAATCTTTCTTCTTGTAAGCTTCGTTTCCTTTATCCTTTTCTTCTTCGGCCTAAAATATTAGATGTTTGACATTGAGCTATATAAATAGAGATGGTGTTTTTACTTGTCTCTGCGCTGGTGTTAAATTTTTATTTACATCATCTTTCGCTGCATTTGTCGTTTTGGAAGTGTTAGATGCGGATGATGTTGAAGGTTTCGATGTTGAAAAACTAGATGGTTGTGCTGCAGGATCACCTCTCATTGTCATTTCATCATCATTTTCACCGCCTAATTCAAAACCGAGAGCAGCGCCAAGGACCTTCATTACTTTTGGATTTTGGAATAATCTAAATTGAAATAGAACAAATGATTAGACAAAATTACTTCTAATTCAGTTATCAAATAAGTACAAGGGGTTATTTGGATTTGTTCTAAATTGTTGCATCAGTCTTGCTGTTTCAGGATCTTTCATCAATTCACGTGCTTTTGGATTTGCCATTAATTGCATTAAAAACTGTGGATCACCAAATGGATTTGACGATGTTGGTGTTTGTGCCGCTTTTACTTCTCCCAAACCATCTAGTAATTGTTGATTTTGAGGATCTAATCGAAGACCTTCTTCGTATGCTTTGATTGCATCATCATGACGTTTTAAATATGATAATGAGGCACCTTTTCTAGAATAACCCTATAATAACAACAACACAAAAGAGGAAATCAGTTTATTCTTATTTCTTTATTTTCATTAAAACGCACTTTAACAAAGTCTGGTTTCAATGCTATACATTGTTCAGCATCTTTTAGTGCATCTTCGTATTTGTTCATTTTTGCATACGCAGCTGATCGATTACTGTATAAAACATGATTTTTATCATCAAGTTGAATAGCCTCCGTATAGTATTTTGCTGCTTCTTCGTTTTTTCCGGCTTGAAATGCAGTATTCGCTTTTGTTTTCAGTTCTTCAACCTAGAAAAAAATGTTGATTAGAATTCGAAATAAATACCCAAGAAAATCTTTTTGAAATCATTTTACCTGACTTGCCATTACACACGAGAAATTCAGAAAAATATCAAAGGCAACTAGATCTACAAATAACAAGCCATGTTTATAAGCATCAACAGAATACTAATATTATATGAATAAATACAGTTGGTTTAAACTATATTTATTTGAAGATGAACACAGTTGTTGATGAACACACACATAAATACAGTTGAAAATGAAGGCTCTCTAACATTCTTCCAATCGATAGAAAAGCACATACTCGCCTAGCTCTTACAATAATTTCAGATGCAATCTCACTTTGCTTTATCTCTGATTATAGCAAGTATCTAATAAAAAAGTTTCAAAGTGCAGCGTAAAAGCAGAGAGAGCTAAATAAGCTGCGCTATGTGCATTGTGCTTGCCAATAATGAAACATAAACATGCAGAATGACAGAAAGATGAATTTCCAGTCTGCTTTTTGACAACAAGAATTAGAGACAAACTGAGAACTGAAGGGATTCTTCTGCTACAAGACGAGCATCCAAGGGGGGGGATAACTAGATCTTCAAACTGCACTTTCAAGAAGACAGTGCATACTTTTACATCTCACTTTTGTCGAATCATTGCATTTTTTATATCCGGGATTCAGCGGGAGAAAAAACATTTGGCCACAATTCTGGAGGAAATATAATACTAGTCGCATAACTTATCTAACCACTTGCTTCTGTTAAAAGAAAAGAAGTTAGTGTTTTCTTCCCTCTTCTCTTCATATCAGTGATTGAATTACGTGAGATGAAACACTAAAAGTAAACGTTATAGCCAACGAAAAAAATCAAATTATTGCATTGGTTATGGAGCACATATTCTAACTATTTACTCCTGACGTATATCTCCATACTTTTCGATATAATTCTCGAAAAATGGAGAAACTGGAGAGTCAAGACTAGCCGACTGATCAACCAACGAATTTCATAACTTTTTCAAGTTTAAGTTTGAAGTTTGAAGCAAACAGACATCATTCATATCAGTAACTTGTGTTTTTGTCCTACTCGAAATACTTACATGACTACGACAAGAGATGAACCGCATTAACGAGTTCTCTTTAGGTGAACATGTGCGTAACGAAAGCGTATCCATAGTTACTGCGCGAACAATGTCGCTGCTTTTAGTTTGGTCTGTTTCCTAAACTAAAGACTAAATCTTCCTTAAATTTCATCCCATTGAGCTAAAAATATACTAGAGACACTCAAGGTACTATTGCAAAGGTATTTTTTTGTAGATAAGTTTTAATGTGATACAGCGAACTCTGACGTCCAAAAAATACTTTGGACTGTAGAACTTTGTACTATGAAACTCACTTCGTCGACGGTTCTCAAGAATGATCATATATCTACCAGAGAACACTGGAGAGCTGGGATACGTCTTTTTTAGGAAACTGTTTCCTCTGCAAGACTAACTACCCTAGTCGAGACTCCTGATTAATCTCCCACAGGAGCCCTGGGAAAAAAGTCCTACAGGAGTCAGCAGGAGTCCTGTCACGGGGGCCCGCCAGGATCCGCTGTCGAGTCATGGAGGATTTTTAAGGGATTCAAGAGGGATTCCTCACGACACCCACAGGAGTTCTATGGGATTCTTAAGGAAGTCCCTGGAGAGTTCTCGGGGATCTTCAAGAGAGTCCTTGGGGACTCCCTCTGGGTCTATTGATCCATCTTCTTAATTTCATGTAACTAATTAGTAATTAAGGAT